TGCAAGGGAAGGCTCTGCACTGCAGGCTGTTTATAAATAGCCAGTTTCAGGAAAAGGCCCTTTCCGTTCTGGTGTCAGTACGCTGTAAAGAATAAACAGCTTTCAGAGCTGAAAAAAGCCCTCCTTATCTTCTCGTGCAAAACCTGTATCTGCCTCCATGTGCTCAGCAAGCTCAAGCACTCAGGGCATGGCTGGGGTCCCCTTGGCCAGCAGGGAGGCAGACAGGGAACCCTGAGGCACATCCTCCACAGAAATGTTTGTGGCGGTTTTGACATGGCCACGAGGCAGAAGGCAAGCTCATTAATGCAGGATGTGCAATCAGGGCCCTCATTTCTTCACTGCTGACCTGGGTTACCCAGGATCTCAGAAGAACAAGAGGGATTGAGCATGCTGGAACAGTACCCACAGAGTGAGGGCACAGCCCCTCGTTGAAGGACATTACAGCACTTCCACAAATCACCTGAGCTGGAACACCAGCTAAAATACATGGTATCTCAGGCGAAAAACAGGTGAATTCTCTTCCAGTGTGAGACTGGCAACAACAGAGCTGGGAGCAGCGGGAGAGAGCCTGCAGCTTCTGCTTGGAGTACTGGGCAGCTCAGCCCAGCAGTGCCACACAGGAACTTCTTTGTGGACTCAAAGTCAAAGTAGTTCTCAGAACTCTCTCTGGAGTGCTGGCATTTGCTGGAAAGCACACCCTGACTTTCCCTTTCGTCTTCATCCCTGGGAATCCAGGACTACTCTGATGCTCAGTGGAAAGGTGTTGGAAGTGGAACAAGAGGGGTTTGCCATTGGTAGGGTGGAGTGGACTGCAGATAGGTGGGTCCAGTTCCATGGCAGGGCCTTGAACTCACCTCTTTGGAGTAGCCAGTGTAAAGCAGAGGAGAGTAGGGACAGAGTGAGAGCAGCTTGTCCTGCCCATCCCTGCATGGCTTGTCCCCAGATGAGGAGGGACGCTCAAGTGCTGGGGACTGATTGCTTGGGGGCCATCGGTGGTGACAGCAACGCCCTGGCACGGGCACCGCTAATCAGACTTGGTGCTGACAGAGCCAGCGAGGGCAGGAAGGGTCCCCGGGACTGCCTGGGACTGCCCAGGACCAGCTGAGACCGCCCGGGACCAGCCGAGACCGCCCGGGACCAGCCGAGACTGCCCGGGACCAGCTGAGACCGCCCGGGACCAGCCGAGACTGCCCGGGACCAGCCGAGACCGCCCGGGACCAGCTGAGACCGCCCGGGACCAGCCGAGACCGCCCGGGACCAGCCGGGAACTCCCACGGGGCGCTGCTGCCCCCTCGCGGCACCGGGCGAGAAACGCCGCCCAGCCCGGCCCCGGCGCGGCGGGAGAGGCGTGCGGGGTGATGGATGTGGAGCTCTGGGAGCTGCGTGCGGGGTGCAGGGTGCGAGGTGCTGGGAGCTGGGTGCGGGGTGATGGGTGTGGAGCTCTGGGAGCTGGGAGCTGGGTGCGGGGTGATGGGTGTGGAGCTCTGGGAGCTGCGTGCGGGGTGCGGGGTGATGGATGTGGAGCTCTGGGAGCTACGTGCGGGGTGCGGGGTCATGGCCGTGGAGTGCGGAGTGACGAGTGAGGGGTGCAAGGCGCGGGGGGCTCTGGGGTTCCCGCCGCTGGGGTCCCTTCTTAGAAGCGGGTGCTGGCCCTGTCCTTCCCGCAGCCATGCTGTTTGCTCCAGAGACACAGGGATGTGTGGGCTGTGTGTAAGGGCTGTGACATCTTTACGCTGCGCACCCTCAGAACACGGAGCAAGGAGCCAGAATCTCGGGAATCCTCCTTCTCACTTGAAGCAGAACACACGGTAGGCACACCAGCCACGGGGATCCCCCTCTCAGCTATTGCTGTCACTTCTGCAAAACTCCTTTCCTGCCCCACGAGCTCCCCATGTCCCATTTTGCCGCTTTCATTTGTGTCCCAGGAGGTGTGAGTGTGACTCCCAGAGAGGAATCTGAGTGGGCAGACAGGAAAGTTTCCTAAATGCATTGGAGTCATGGACCACCAGGCTCTGCCCCAGGCTCTGTACCTGCACCAGCACTTCATGACTGGGACTTCCCACCACCCCAAACTACTTAACAATTGCTTTCTCAGGCTTGTGTCCTGGATCCAGGGAAGCTGGACATGCCAGGGACTGGCAGCATGGCCCGGCCACTACAGTTGCACAATACCAAATTCGTGCACCTGCTGTCAGAAAATTACTGGTATTTTGTCTAAATCAGAACTTTAGGTGACACAAGTTTCCACCTCTGCCACAGACTTTCTGTGCAGTCTTGGACAAATCTTTTAATGTCCCCTCCGTTCCAGTTTCCTGTCTGGTCCATGATGCTGAGTCCATGTGTCAAGAAAGCCTTGTGATCATCGTCCCTGTGTTCAGGTAACAAAGGTTTGTAGTGCACACTGTTGTACCCAGGAGCATCCTTCTCCTAAAATCTCTTCTGCAGCCACACACTAAAAGCTCTACAGACTCCCAAAATTCTGCATCACCTGGCAATACAGATACCTACTGACCATGTCCTCAGGGCAGGTACACAGAAAGTGTCTGGCAGCAGGAAGTCTGAGGTCTGCCAAATCCACTGCGCTGTCCACACCAGCAGCCACAACCAGCTGCTCCAGCCAGAAGCAGCAGTGATTTGCCACGAGACACATCTTGTGAGAGCCATGGCTTCAATGTGTGCAGCACAGTGGCCCTTTGAAAGGTGCTGAAAGGCCCCCTGGGATTATCTCTTGCTCTCTTTGTCGTCCCATCCTTTTGCTGAGTATCCCCCAGTGACTTCCCACAGCAGTGGGTTTCATTGGCCGATCACATTAATTGGTTTGAATTTCCATCAAATAGCACCTTGTTCTTGGTTCAAAACAAAATAAAGATGCTGTTCAAAAACTTCTTGTTGACAGTTTTTCCAGCCCACTGTCCTACCTGCTTCCCAGCCCCAGGACTGGAGCTCTGCAGAGACAGATGCACTGCACCAGGATCACACACTCCCCTGGGCACTCAGGTATCTCCCACCTCTCTGACACAGTTGTTGTCCAGTCTGTGCAAGGTTTTTCCGTACCAGGAACTTTACTGACTTTAACAGTGAATTGTGACTTGAAAGAAAATGTTTTTGGCTTGTCCTGGCTCAACTGTATCACATCATTGTCTGCTTTTCGTTGGCTGACTATGGAAATCTGGGTCTTGTCCCTCATTTACTGTTGCCAGGTACAATCTATAGCCTTATTTTGAAACCATTTAGGACGTTTAGCACCTTGCAGCCCACCAGCACACAGGCTGTCTCTGATTATAGTACCTGATCACTGGAAAATAAAACAGCAAATTAATGCCCAGTGAGTAGGGAGCATCACTCAGATGCTCAGTTCCAGAGCCTTTGCCTTCCTGATCAACACGGTCGTGGCCTCTCCTGAAATCAATCACAGCCAACAGGCTTAATTTCTGCCTGGTGTGGAGCCTGGTTATTGCTGTAAGCTGCTTTTTTCATCCTGCCTGATCAGGGGGATCCTCTAACTCAGAGGGGTACAAATAGGGCATGTCATTTGAAAACACAGCAGAAACACAGGTCATACTTAGCATACCCAAGCAGGAGTGAGTGTACAATGCCTCAGGGGGTTTCCAGGACTTCCCAGCCCCACTATTCTTTATTTCTCAGATTCCAGGCTCTCCAATATTGAGTATCCGTGACCAGCCAGAGAGCACTTCCACCCGGCCATGCGCTGCTTCCCACTGCTGACTGGGAGCAGTAAGTAGCAATTATGTGAAAAGTACCTCCAGAGAAGAATTGATACTGACAGGCAATGCTTTCAACAGTTCCTTTCCTGCCAAACATTGCTATGTTCACTAGGAACGCACATCTGTGGTCTCAGACCAAAACCAGCAGGCAGAACTGCAGCTTGCCAGCCTTCCAGGCATCACCTTGCTTGTCGTGACCCACAGTGCTGCTTTACTTGCAGTTTCCTTCTCTGTGCTTCCAAATCTTCCTTTGAACTGACAGGTCTGTAGTGCATTTAACCAAGCAGACATATCCTGTTTCCCTCTCCAGGGATCACTCCAAATTAGATTTATCTCTGTGAAGTTCTTTGAAGACAGGCATTACAGGCACTCTGGACCTGCTAGTTGTTTTCTTCCACGATTGGATTTAGCTTATGAAGAAGAAAGATCCCAAATTCATGCCAGCAGCACACAAGCTGGTGACTCCTGTTATGGTAACGCAGTGCAGGCAGCTGTGTGTGATCCAGCCCGTCCTTCCTCACCTCACATGCGTGTGATCCAGCCTGTCCTTCCTCACCTCACATGTGTGTGATCCAGCCTATCCTTCCTGGCCTCACATGTTTCTGCTCTCACTGTCACCCTCTGTTGCTCCCCATGACAGTTTCTTGTGGGAGAAATCTACCACTGAGAAAGGACTAACCTCTCTTGGAGGGCTGGAGTTTTTTTAGGTACCTCTAGAAAGTAGGATGAATTCCCACTGCTGGGAGAAGAATTCCCACTGTCAGCAGAAGAGCAGCGCAGGTTCAATCCCAAAGGGATTGTGAAGCAGTGAGCACAGATGAATGACTTGCACATCACGCTGAATTGTGTGTGCCACAAGCTGCCTTACACCTGAGGGGTGACCCCCGTGATCTGTGAGTCATTCTTCTACTCCTCATTTGGTCTGCAGGATTCATTTCTCTTCAGCTGGTCCCATTTCATTGAAGAAGTGTGAGAAAGAAGACACTGGCAATTCTGCATTTAAAGAATTGATTCTTTAAACACTGAATAAATTCCCCAACTTAAAACCACTGTAAATTTTTTTCTTACAACCAAGCTTTACTTTTTCTGCAGGGATGGACAGAACTGGAGCTGGGGGATCCAGGGACACAACACAGATTGATTTTGCAGTCTACCAGTTATGCCTGATGGTGATGGATGTGTGTAGAGTGGGAAATAGCCAGCATGAACACTGAGCTGAGCTCCCTTCCTCCCCAACAATGTGTGCAGTGAAATCATGACCCAGACATTTCCTTCTTTTGGAATCAACATTTTTATTGGTCTTCCCAAAAAAGTCTCATCAAACCCCAACTCCCAGCACACAAAAGCACCTAGAGAAGACACTGGCGCTGTTCAACCAGACACTATCGTGTGTAAATGATCAGGCCAGAAACTTCCACAATAAAACACGTCCATCTTCAAGTGACTGGCTTTTTTCTGTCACCCCTTCTGAGTTGACACTGAAAACGCAGAACAAAAGAGAAAGAAAAATATCTCCTCTTGTCTCAGATGAGAGTTGTTATTCTTCAAAGCAAGGGAGGGAGTGTGGGATTTTATCACCACAAACATGCCACACTAACATAGACAGTCTTTCACAGGAACAGCTCATCCAGGAGAACATACTGTACATCCACCTGCAGCCAAACAACTCCGGCCTCATTACAGATCTTCAGGAAACATGAATTCAATGCAACCAAGACAGGGATCGGGATTTTCACAGTAGCCTTCTGTCAACAGACAAAGAAAACCCTTTTAAAGTGCTGCTTCTTTTCTTTAAAGTGTATTTTCATCTTCTGACAATGGTTTGCTTCTTTTGTGTATGTAAGAGTCCAAATTACTTACTACTGCAGTCCAACACCCCCATATGTTTGCTTTACTCACATTTATTTTACAAAGCCTTTTTTAGAAATATAGTTTTTGAGAGATGAGGGTTATTTCTCCTAGAATACTTATGAAGCTGAAAAGCAAGTTCCAGTTTGTTAATGCAGGTTCTAGTTTGTTAATGTCTTAAACAGAGTAAAAAGCAGTGCATCATTAAAATGTGTAGTACTGTTAATTGGAATTTACTACATTCTATTTCAAATTAGTTTCTGTCACAAATGGTGCCCTCTCCACTGCTGGTCTTCTTTTTCAGAAGCCCTGTTTGTGCTCACCAAAGATTTGATGACTGTGAACAAGTGTTTTAACAGTTTGGGACCTGCAAATATTTGCCTCCAGGCTGCTTCAAGCAAACCATGTCAAACCAACTTCAACAAACTGCTCACATGCATTAAGTTGAATAAATATCTATTTAAAGAATCCTAGATGGTATGGGTTGGAAGGAACCTTAAAGATCACGTTGTTCCACCCCCTGCCATGGGCAGGGACACCTTCCACTAGCCCAGGTTGCTCCAAGCCTTGTCCAACCTGGCCTTGGACACTTCCAGGGATGGGGCAGCCACAGCTTCTCTGGGCAACCTGTGCCAGGGCCTCCCCACCCTCACAGGGAAGAACTTCTTCCCAATATCCCATCTAATCCTGCCCTCTGGCCGTGGGAAGTCATTCCTTCTTGTCCTATCACTCCATGTCCTTGTCCAAAGTTCTTCTCCTGTTCTCTCATGGAGCCTCTTTAGGCACTGGAAGGCCACAACAAAGTCACCCTGAAGCCTTCTCTTCTCTTCTCTTCTATACAAGTTTCATCCATGACCCTGCTCCATATTTACCACAATTTTGACCTGTTGTGGACACTTCTGGAATTAGAAGTTTGTTGTTGTATCAAGCATTTCTCAAAGAAATATTTACACTCTACATTTTAATCACATGTACACTGACTTCCTTCGTTTTTACATGGCATGACCTCTGATTTTTTATTTAAAGATTAGATGTACTTTAATTACTTAAAATACTACAGCTTCTGCAGCAGAGAGCAGAAATGGATGTTCACTTAAGCTCCTTTACTCTTGATTTGAAAGCATTATTTGAAAGCATTGTTACTGGCTGCCACATCAGCCCTCACCCAGGGCTGGGCTGATTTGGCCTGTACTGAGAATGGTGTGGCAGCAGGACCAGGGAAGTGACTGATCCCCTGTACTGGGCACTGCTGGGGCACCTCGAGCACTGCCCTCGGTTCTGGGCCCCTCACTGCAAAAGGGACATTGAGGGGCTGAAGCGTGTCCAGGGAAGGGCAACAAGGCTCATGAAAGGTCTAGAAAAACATGTCTTATGAGGAACGGCTGAGGGAGCTGAATTTGTTTTCTGTGGAGAAGAGGAGGCTCAGGGGGGACCTCATCGCTCTCCACAGCCCCCTGACAGGAGGCTGCGGTGAGTGAGGTGCGGGCCGGTCTCTTCTGCCGTGCCTGCGGTGAGAGCACCAGAGGAAATGGCCTTAAGCTGAGATAGGGGAGACTCAGGTATTACAAAAAAGTTGTCACTGTTGGGGTGGTCAGGCGTTGGCAGGGGCTGCCCGGGGAGGTGGTGGAGTCACCGTCCTTCGAGGTGTTCACGAGGCGCTGGGTGACGCGGTGCGGTGGTTCAGGGGTTACAGCGGTAGCGCTGGGCAGGCAGTGGGACTGGATGATCCCTAAGGTCTCCTCCACTCCCGGTGATTCGAGGGCTCTGCCACCTCGTCCCTCACGCCCCCTCCTCTTCCCCTCCCCTCCCGTCCCCTCCCCTCCCCTCAGCCCGGGCGGGCTCCCCGCGCTACCCTGAGGGCGCAGGCGCGGTGGCGGCGCAGGCGCGGGGCGGTCGCTGTGCGCGGCGCGGCGGCCGCGCTCGCTCGGCCCGGCCCGGCCATGTCTTTCGGGCCGCTGGACCCGCGGGGTCCCGCGCCCGCCCCGCCGCGGGACTTCGGCGGCATCATCCAGACATGCAGCGGCAACGTGCAGCGCATCGCGCAGTACAGTGAGTGCGGCGGGGCCGAGCGGGGCCGGGGGCGCTGCGGGAGCCGGGGCGGCAGAGCCTCCTTGGGCGGTGCCGGGCGGGGGTGCCCGGGGCGGGCGGACCCCGGACGGGCCCAGCTGGGGCCCGGCTCCCCCCGGGTGTTCCCCAGCCCTGCTCTCGGTGGGGTCTGTGCCCCTGTCACCGAGTGGCACCGACAGCTGGCCGGCCCCAGGGAGGGGCCCCGGGGGCAGCGGGAGCCCGAGGAGCCGCCGCGCCCGGAGCAGCTGCTGTGCCAGGGTCCCGCTCCCCAGAAGGGTGTCCCTGGGGACGTGGCGTGGCTGTTTCTTGGTCGCGTGGTTGTCATTAGAGAAAGTTATCGGAATTGTGAGCTAATCGTAGAAATCTCGGTGCTGAGCGCCGAGATGCTGCTCGTTAAAGGAGTCACTTCCGAAAGAGTCTTTGGTATGAGCCTTCCAAAGGATACCGCCTTTACTGAAAAGGGCATTAATTGTTCAAGTAGCCATGCGAGTTTTTAGGGGCAAGGTCAGTGGAACATTTTGGTTCCTGAGAAAGTTGGTGAATTCTCTGATTATACAAAGCTGTTAATATCACTGAAACTGCTTTGGTCAGTCATGTTCATTTCCTCTTGGTAGAGGCATAGCTGAACTGCTTCAAATCTCACCAAATAACATGGCTTGTCTAGGTTTTTTTCCTTTTTTTTATTCCGTTTTTTTTTCTTCTTCACACTCTTTCTCCTTTCCATGGGACTTCAGTGAGCCTCCTGTTCTAAGCAGCTCAGCTTCTCTCTCATAGGACAGGCTTTGCTGTCTTATGACCCGCAGCCATCCTATCTCCGTGCACTGCCCATCTCAAATGAAACAAATAGCCTTACAGTTTTATCGAGGTGGGTGGGAACTCACAGAACATCTGACTTAATGTTACAGTAGTTAACTTCATTACACATAATATAAAAGCTTTCCATTCAGGCCTAGGAGAAAAAGATACATTGAAGCCTTAAGGCTATCCTCATTTCTCCTTTCATTCCCTAAGGAAAAGAGCAAACAGTAGGCACAGCTCAGTATTATACACGCCTTTGGAAAATCTCTCTAGAGTGAGCATTTCACACAAAACGTACAGAAAACTGGTGGCCTGAGTTGGCAAAACTGTTGCTTGCTCAGATAATGTAAGAGTCCTGCAGCTAGGGCAGAGATTGAAGTGTTTTAAGTAATCTTAGTTGTTTGATAGTGAGTACATGGAATTAAAAGGTCTTGGTGACTGAAAACTGTTGGCTGAGGGGGCTCTCTGTGTTGGTACATACCCACTATCCAAAGAATAAAGAGCTCCAGCCCCTTCCTATGGTTTCTCAGACACTTTCCTCTCATTTTTTTATAGACTGTGTGTTGCTGTTGGCCGAGATAAACCAAGCAAAGCAAACTGCTGAACCTGGCTCAGGGCAGGACAAACAGCACATTGCCTGGCCTGGAAATGGGACTGTGCAAGAATCTCCCCCAGTGGAGAAAAATAAGTCCCAGGGTGTCTGGGCATTATGGCACAAATGCCATTTGCCAAGTCCTTGACATCCGCATACACAGTGCAGTCCCTGTGCCGTTTGTCACCAACCTGACTAGGAATTTTTCTGACCTTCCTGTGTCTGACAGAGCTGTGAAATATGTGCAGTCTTGCTTGCTGGAAGCCAAGCTCAGAGTAAAAGAAGTTGCCAGCTCCTCATTGTATGACCTAATAGAAGTCTGGAATTCTCAGTGAGAATACCCTCAGTGGATGCAAAAGCTAATTACTGGCTTATTACTGATTAGCTCATATTGCAGCCTTAGCTGAGCTGCCCTTCTTATAAGCTGTTGGACATCACTTGAAAAGAAGTGGCCGTTGTAGGGATCTGATGTTTCTCCAGCAACACATTGAATCCAGTGCAGAGGCTCCAGGCTGAAAGCACAAGTAACACAGGAGGATTTCACTGAATTGGAAGAAGCTCTTGTTAAACTCACAGGGTAATTCAGTTCAGCTGCCTATGGAACTATATTAGAGTGACCCTCCTTGGTCTTGCCTCTCAGTGGTGATGTGATAACATATGATTTCACGATCGATTTGAGCTGATCAATCTTTGTGCTGCTCTTGTAAGTGCTGAGCCAAGCACTTCAGTAATGATAAAAACTGTGCTGCTGCAGAATAAAGTGGATCAGCTTCTTGATCTGTCAAAAAAGTATTCTAAGGTAGAGGGAGTGGGGAGAGAAAATGCTACTTGTCTTTTAGGTAAGTTAATGGTTTGATGTGATTTGTTGTGTGGTTTCATGGTCACTAATGCCTACACAAGGAAAACAGTGGAAAAACACAGGAGATGGGAAGAAGGAGGTCTTGAACTTGCACTACAACATGATTTCAAATTGATGAAGGCCAACTGTGAAGTGCACATTGCTATCTGCTGTTCTTGAAAGATTGTTTGTGCCAGTATTGTGAAAGATTTGGGCTATCATGAGTAGAAAAATTCAAGTTTGGTTGGGTGTTTTTTGAAACTGATAGCAATCCTTGGTCATTGTTGTTTGTTTGTTTTTTTTTTTAACAGAGTTGTAATAATTTAAGTAACTTAAAAATGTGTAAAAGTGGCAATGTAGCATAGTGAAGCTGTTCTGCAGCAATGATAGCCTAAAATACAGAAATAGCAAGGCTGATAGAAGTAGTCAGCTCTGTTAATTGGTCTAAAAAGGTTGAGGAAGAGGAGAGCACAACGTTTTAGCTCCACAGACTTGTCGTCAGGGTATCTGTGCCTCACTACCACTTTCTTGTCTGAAAGTTTGTTAGGCTGAATCATGTCTAGGTAGGGATGTTTAATATACATTTGCATTTCACAGAATCCCAGAACAGCTGGGGTTGGAAGGGACCTCTGGAGTTCATCTGGTCCAACCCCTGCTAACACAGGTTCCCCCAGAGCAGGTTGTGCAGGATGGTGTCCAGGCAGGGTTTGAATATCTCCAGGGAAGGAGATTCCACAGCCTCTCTGGGCAGCCTGTTCCAGGGCTCTGACACCCTCACAGCTAAGGAATTTTTCCTCATATTTAGATGGAACTTCCTGTGTTTCAGTTGTGCCTGTTGCTCTGTGTCCTGTCACTGGGCATCACTGGGAAGAGTTGGGCCCCGTCCTCTTGGCATTGACTTTTAAGATATTTGTATATATTTAAAGCAAAGAATGTAAGTGTTGTCTTACTAGCTTGAGTTAAGTCAAACATTGAAATAAATCCTTTTAAAGCTAAAAGAATACATTCAAGAAGGAATAAAATACATTAGAACTTGTCTTACTGACTCATCTTGTGATCTCTTTATCTTCAGCTGCTCAGATAAAGAATTTGATGAGCCAGCTGGGAACAAAGCAGGATTCCAGCAAGCTTCAGGAGAACTTGTAAGTATTAAATAAGCAAACATCAGTATAGGTCCTCTTTGATTTCTCCCTGTATTCTTAGAGGAACTGGGTTACTTGCTGTGGGGAAATGCTTTATGAGATACATTTAGTTCAGTCCTTCAAACCCAAAATGAGTAGCTGCATTAAGTAGTTTACTGGACAAATTAAAGTGTTTCTGCAGGACTCCGGTGAAGCCATTCAAAACCGCTGGATAGGTAGGGTTCTATATTGTTCTTCTATAAAGCTTTTCTATAGTTTATTTAAAAAGTAGTAGTACCCCAGCCATGCATTAGCATTGGCTGTCCTCTGAGGAGTAGCCACAGTAGCTTCACTTGTGGTTTAGAAGAAATGAACGCCATAGTAGGTACTTGGTCCTCACATGAGACCAATGAATTCCCATAATTATGGTGAAAGAGTAGCTTGTAGTACAGATGGATTTAGGCAGTAGAAAGATTAGCAATCCTATATGGCAGCCAAAATGTCACATGTAATTTCAGAGGAATAATATGCCAGTGGGGGACAAAGTAGAAGATGTTTAAACAGCTGTTGTCCAAACTGACTCCTGGAGAGACTGAACAGAGACTCTCTGTGTCTGTGCATCTTTCACAAATTCATAAAGCATAAATAGCGAGTTATAAAAAGAATCATTTCCAGAGGGTCATCAAAGAAAACTTGGAAGTCAGTTCTTCTGTTCTCTTTTCATGCAACTGTACCTTGAATCTCTGAATGTACAACTTTCCTGGTTTTTATAATAGCTGATTTTTTTGATAAGTTCATGACTTGTAGTGGGAGCTACGTACCCCATGTTTGACGGATGAGATCGGAGCCCAGTTAGGAGAGAAAGGGATTTGCTTCCTTGAGCTTCTCAGTTGGCTCAATCTCTATTTAATCGGTAGATTAAAGAACTAATCACTGGTGACCAAACAAATGCTTTTCCATTTGATGTCACTGTAGAAGTGGCATAATCTCTCCTCTTTGAGGTCAGAGTGGCTGAACCCCACGAATTGTCAGCTGCCAATACAAACTTACTACCCAAATACAGGGATGGTTTATTCCGCTCACACATACAACTTGGACAAAAACAGAGCCTGAATGCCTCCATTTACATATCTACTGGCTGGGTATGTGACTTTCACTTCAGCATCTTGTACCCATTGAATGCAAAAGAAATCGTTTCTTGTTTTAGTATTTTGTGTCATCCTGGTTTACAGTGTAGTTTTTGTGTATTAGTATTAGGCACTTTGCAAAAATAAGCTTCAAATTATAATGTTGTTGGAAAACATAAAGGCTCCAGGGAA